TAATTGAGGTCAGCTACCGTTACACTGAGTTGGGGTTCCTGTCCACCTTCCATCACTGTTACATGTTCTACTTGTTGATCCCGTCAAAGTGTATCCTTTATCACAGGAAAACTGGCAGGTTTGTCCTGGCAAATTAGAGCAGGGCTCTAGACTTCCATGCGGCGGGGCATGCAACTGTTGACAACGGTTCACTATGAAGAGAAAAGGGCACAAATAAATTTGCTTTGATAACTAGCAACAAGTTCATACTTCAACGCGCCCTAATCGAGATTGGAATTGCGCAGGAGGGCGAAAGGGAACCATATATGCTTAAGAATTGCAAACAGGGTAAAAGATAGCAACTAGGCCTGTCTTAAAGAGTTCCCAGAACGTAGCAAGTGTTTCATTAAGCCATGATCTAATGATTAAGGCACGAATCAGACATTTTATTACACGACGCGGGCAGTCAGCGGGCCAATAACTAACATCAACCAATCAAAATGCTCTATTACTGGTCCAATATTCTCTAAGTATTGGAACGGGCACTGTCCCGAATGGTCCTGAATGATATCGCACTTGTGTCCCTTTGAACTTAAGTCGTATAATATATCTCATTATCTAAGCTTGCCCGGGACCGTACTGGAAGAATATCGGCCCTCGGTCTTCTTTGTACGGATCTCGCTGCGCTCGGTCCGTGCTGTCAAGACCTCGCGCCGATATTCTCCCAGTACGGCCCTCGCGCTTGGTTAATTAGATATATTTATTAAATTTTCAACGTTTTAATCCAAATGCTGCATGATAATATATACAAAGAATCCCTCTATTACCATCTCGTGCGCATACTCAGTCGATATGTCAAGTTCCTCACCTCCTTCACAAGTGAGAGGATCGCCAGGCTTGAGCTGAACTCCCTCTGGACAAAAACATTGATGTCCAATTGGATTTGGAAGGCAAAGATGACTGCAACCTCCATTAACTTGAGAACAACTTGTCGAGTCTTGAAAATACGTATTATTTTAAATTTATGTGATCATGGCCTTGTGCAGCCAGCTCCCGATAGACTAGAATAAGGTTTGCCATGTTTCTGAAATAATTTTCCTTGCATCTCCAAACATTAATCTGCCCTACCCAATAGTGTGAATATTTTGTAAACATGGAAAAAAACAATTACCCTTTGACCAGCTCTCACTAACGAAATTGAAATGAGAATCATTTTGATGGCAAATTACAGCGATGGGCCATTATAGAAATCTATTAAGTTACATCGTGGAAACTTTCTTTAAAGTGTGATGTAAACTGATCATCAGGTCAGCGAGGCAGTTCAGGTAAAAGTTAGAGAAAAACAGTGAGTCACTCCAGATTGTGTACCCACCTGTAAGTGTTTTTGTCTGATTATAAACATGCACATCCATGGGACTTCCCATTCCGTAAACCAACACTTCACTTTGTGAAGAAGTTAAGTTGTACTTATGAATACTTTGATTGTTCCTGTCAGACCAGTACACAGCTTCATCAAAAAGAGAAAGCCCAAAGGGGTGATGTTTGTAAGAAGACAAATCTAGAACTAGTTCTCTGTTATTTCCTTGAAGATTTGCCCTCTCAATCTTGTCAAGTTTTGCATCGCACCAATACAACAGGTTATTATGGTAGTCTAGAGCAAGTGCGTTAACCCACTCAACGCCAGAGCTTACAATAACTGTCCTGGAGGACCCGTCCATGTTGGCTTGTTCAATCTTTGGTGATGATCCCCAATCGCTCCAGTACATTTGTCTAAAATAAGCGTTTAAATTTGGATTACATTTTCGCTGCGCTTTATCATCACTTAGCAATTAATGAAAACCCTCGCTGATTTAGCATTATCATCAATTCTCAGCTTTGGGAAAAGATAAAAATCTCTCTCGAAGTTAACTCGCGATGAATAAACCTTTCCCAGTTGTTACAGAAAGCAGCTATATCTTCAATTATAACCTCCATAGCTTCAGTATTCGCTGCAATATACTTGCATATCTATCCTTGGACTTAAACCGTTATTCCGAAAGTGTTTAAGGACGAATATCCGATAATACTCTCGCGCCAGTTGGAGGCTATTAAGTGCGGATATTAATGTGTCTGAGAAAGCATAATAACTTTTAAAGCAGTCTGGGATAAACAACAAAGAGAACGTTGTCCAGAGTAAAGTAGCTTTTAAACGCGAAAGCCTTCCCTTTTGCGATAGCTGGAAACTTTCGAGTTCCTAAGAACTATGCCTCTTCTCTGAACCATTCATTTGGCATATATCAAAACAGGTAAACCGCAAAGTGAGGTAAAAGAAAATCTAAGCTCTGCTTACCTCTGAGCGATATCCAGAATTATAGCTCTTGGATTTTCAATCCCTGTTGTGATCAGGCTTCTTCTAAATGATCCATCTAGTTGCGCTACTTCAAGTTTGCTGGTTCCAACATCAGTCCAGTAGAGAATCCTCCCAATGTAATCTACTGCAAGGCCATCCGGCGATTCCACGTCAATGTGCGCTATGACCTCAACTGAAGATCCGTTTGGAAATGCTCTTGCTATTAGTTTTAAGGCCACGTCCGTCCAATAGATCTTACCCTCTACTGGGTCGTAGTCGACAGCCACGGGCCTGGAGATATTAATGTTGATTTGAAGGGCATGGCAAGGTGTATTCGCCACTGTTAAAGGAACCCTGTAAATTTCACCATGATCCGCTTCGGCGAATAGCAAAAAGTATTCACCGCTTATCTTTTGGAACGAATCTTTAAGGAAAACAGAAAACAACGATGATAATAATAATAATAACAATCATTATTATTTTATTATTATTATTATAGTTATCATGATTATCATAGAAAGATGATATTGATCATTGATCTAGTTTCAAACCTTTACTTAGCGAGTTAAGCTTACTCATTAAACCCCGAAACGACCTTGGTGAGTTGTACTCACTTTTCGAAAAAAGAACGATATGAACCACAACTTGTTCCTCTACCTTTTACTTTTTCCGAAATATTGAGACAATTTTTTAAAGGGATCAATCGATAATAGCAAAACTCTCCCCCCTTCCACCTTCTCATTGTAAAACCTGAAAAGTAGCCAGCCTCACCATAGTCGCACTCTTTTCCGTCCGCTTTGAGAGCAACACCCGTTGGACATGCACAATGGTATCCTCCTGGCTTTAAAAGACACAAATCACTGCACATGCCATTGTTTTGCGAGCAGGAATGCGAGCCTATAAATGGAAGTTAAATATGATCTTAAATCTCTTAACTATGTCAAAGGGCAATTTTTACGTCAGAAAAATTGCGATAACTCAGAAAGGTCAGTAATTAGAGATTAATAAATACCTTTGACTGTCTTTTTTAACCCTATTGAACGAATGCTATAATCTGTTACCAACTTTTATGAGACGCACCATCAGCTAAAGAATCACCAAACCCTCAATTAAAAGTTGCTTTTGTAAACAGTTAGGAAGGATTATCTTCTTGAGCTGCGGCTAAGATGGGCCTTTTTTTATCTTAATCAAATAAAATAGGCGAGACACATGAGCCTATGATAAACACAGGACGTTTACCTGAGAACATCAAAGAAGGATCAAACACGTGAATGTCCATCGGCTTCTGTAGATCAGAAATCATTACGTCCGTCTCCCCGCTAGTTGCATTGTAACTTGTAATACTTTGGGTATTCCAATCCGTCCAGTAAATAATGCCCTGATAGATTGTTAATCCATAAGGATGAATTCCAGCTGAAGATGATAAAACAATCTGTCGGTTTCTTCCATCCAAATCAGACATTTCTATGGTGTCTAGTTTAGCGTCTGCCCAATACAAACGGTCTGTAGCTTGATCGAGAGTCAGTCCGTTTGGCCAGGCTAGATTTCCTGTAATAATGGATCTTCTACCCGAGCCATCCATTTCTGCTTTCTCTACCTTTGGATTGGCGCCCCAGTCCGTCCAATACATCATACTAAATCAAATGATTCAGAAGAAACTGTTTTAAAAATCTCTCCGAAAAGTTTTACCGCATTACATAACCCAATGGATTATCTAGGTATATCTTGATCGTGAGGGGTAGTTATTGCAAAATCGATGGCTTTTTGCAGCTTTTATATCATAGGGCATGACATTACTTTGGTCATCATTTTTGCAGGCGGATTTCCTTCAGATTTCCCTCAGATTTTTCCCTTTTTTATTTAAGTTGATTCAATTGAGCAGCAGGATTTGTAGAGGCTAGCTTGTTTTCAAAGCGCAAAGCACAGGCTCCCTTTATTAGGCTACAACGTGTTAACAAACGGGCATAAAAAAAAAAACATAATAAAAAAACATCGTTTCTTGCCCATTTCTTTCATCCAATAGTATGTCTCTTGGCTCGTCAAGTCCAGTATTGATCAATTCTTTCCTACTAGTTCCGTCAAGGCGAGCTACCTCAATTCTGTTAGTTCCAGTATCGGTCCAGTAAATGTTTCGTGCCACATGATCAATAACTAAACCATCAGGAACGAAGATGTTACACCGAAAAAGAATCTTTAACGAGGTTGCATTGGCAAAGGCGCTGAGGATTAGACCTTGAGCAACGTCCGACCAGTACACGCGATCTTCGGCAGGGTCATAGTCCAAGGCAATAGGGCGGTGATTCCCTAGATGGTTAAATAGTGGTTTGGCGACGAAGTAGCTGACATCTAGCGAAACGATGTTTGTGGATTTGTCATCAGCGTCAGCAAAAAGGATAAACTTCTTTACTTCTGCATTTGAAATCAAAGCAGTGTTTTCAGTCATTCAAAGACTCAAGATGAAGATGATTGGTTGATCTTAACTTACGGATTCGGGAAGTGAGTGGGAACAATCTCTCGAACAGCAAAAGCATCTAACGACCACTCATTACATGCAATGTTTTGGAGTCTTAAACTGGCTAAAACCAGTGGCATACTTTGTTGGACGGGATTTTAGAAGGGGGAGGTTTACCTTTTGCGTTTTTGTTCAAAGAATCAGGAATGGACTAATTCCAGGCTTTACCTGTAAGAAGTGAATGTAATCCAGCTGAATGTCACAGCAACGTTGGCAAAGTACTATGAAATTCGATGACAACATCAGGTTTTACATGTGGCTAGACACCCAATTCTCTCATCAGAAGCTTCCCAACTATGTTTGTAACGAGTAACTTCTAAATTTAGTATGTATTTTCCTCGGAGGGTAGGCGGGGGAAATTCTAAATTAGCTGTTTACCTATTTACATGTGGTATTCTCAACTGTTCGTTGCATCTCCAAATTTAAACAATCAGTGAGTTGCAGAGTTACAAGCAGGTAAATAGAATTGAACTCTACTTGAAAGGGCGGACACTGATATCTGAGCATCTGGACTATTTCTGCATCATCCCTGGTGATAAAAAAAACCTGTTCTTACTTTCTTCACACGTCTTTCCATCTTGCTTTACTGCTAAGCCTGTAGGACACACGCATTTATGGTTCGACGCCTCAGGAACACAGAAATGACTGCATCCTCCATTGTTTACAGAGCAAGAACTTGAAGCTTCAGAGAAAAACAATTTTAAACGCAAAAGTATAATTCATACCGTCGACCATACAATAAGTTTATTGGTGAAAATATCACTGAAATGTACATTTTAAGAAAGGTAAAAAAGAAGAGATTTTTTACGACTTTTACCTCAGCCTATGACAGGGAAAGGTTTTGCAGTGCCCTTACTCATGATAGACACCAGAATAAAAAAGTAGTAAGCGGTCATTTAATATCGTCTCTGTGAAATGCCCTGGGATTCAACCCTTAATCAACGTCCAGAATTTCGCTAATACCCTTCTAATTTTCCCATGTGATCATCAACTGTAAAGGCTAAAAGTTTCTAAAGAAACTGTGGTGGTGCGTCGGTGGGGGTAAAAAGGTAATTTGGTTATACCAACTCAGATGAAATAGTAAATTGGCCACCGTAACCAATAAAACAGCTGACCTTTTGAGTGTTAGCCCTTCGTCGGTGTTTGGTGTGGGGAAAATATTTCAGGTTTAACATACAACTTTCCTAGTATTACCTGTTGGTTGTCGCCCGCTGTCGTACGCAACAATTTCCATAGGTTTCCCACCATTAATACCGAAACTTCTGAGTACCTCTCCAGTCGTGGCGTCCAGCATGTGGAACTCCTTACTTGTCACCCAGTCAGTAAAGCACAGAAAAGGAGGAATCAACGCCACTCCGAATGGATGCAGGCCATAACTCCGAAATAGGACTTTCCTGTTGTTACCATTATAATCCGCTGATTCCACTCTGTCATAGCCGGCATCTACCCAAAAGATTCTTTTGCTTCCCCTATCTAGGTCAATTCCATTTGGCCAGTAGAGTTGTGTTGTTATAATGGCGACTCTTTGCTGTCCGCTAAGGGAAGCTTTCTCAATTCTGGGAGTGCTTCCCCAGTCTGTCCAAATCATTGCACTGTTTATGAAGGGATCAATGAATAAAAACTTAGGTGGATCGGCGACTCAAATAAACTGATGAATCAATTATTTATCCAGCCATTAAATCAGTCAGCAAGTCAGCCAGCTGATCAGTCTGTCATTGGGTTGGTTTAACAGTCAAATAAACAACCAGATCAGTCAGTTTCTAGCGAGTCAGTATGTGAGTGAGTCAGTTAGTCAGCCAGTCAGCTTGTAAGTCGGTCAGTTCACGAGTCCATGACTGAGCCCTTTGGTTCGACAAGAATGATTCAGACGATGAGTGAAAATTACAAAGTAGAATTGCACTTAATAATTATCTGGCTATATGAATACAGGAAAGAAGGAAAGTTTCATGAAAGTAATACTATTCAAACCGTTAGAGATTATTTGAAATAAATTTCGTTAAGGAGATAAATTTAAGTTGACGAATGAAACACCTATGAAGGTCATTCTTCTTGAAAAAGTCAAAAGATAAACATATTTGAAAATAACATTTTCATGTTCGACAAAATGAGAAATTAGATAATTTTTGAAAAAAAAAAAATAGTCGCCACTGTTTTACTTTAGGAGATTTGAAATAGTATGAGGAAACTTCTGAAAACCTAGCGAATTTTGGAAAGAAGCCCTTCGGAAACTCTTTGCGCTCTCTGAATTTCACTAATTGTTAGAATCATAGCTACACAAGTACACATCATATTAGAACCGAAAGGCTTACTTAACGTGGTTGTAAATCGCACAAATATGGTGACACTTACTCACTGTCCGGATCAAGGGCTATTGCTCTGGGTTCTTCTAGCTCCGAAGAGATTAAAGTACTCTGGTTGTTTCCATCCAGGTCTGATACCGATATCATATCATAAGTTTTATCAGTCCAATACAACTGAGATGTTCTCCACTGAACTGCTAGTCCATAGCAGACACCAATATTGCTAATAACTGTAGCCGTGCTTTCCACATCAATCCCGAATCGTTTAATGTTCATTTCCGTCGTATCACTCCAAAATATGTACCCCAGGCTGAAATGAAGGTCTATAGCTACAGCTCAGGTAAGGCCTGTAATCACTGAGGTTACCTTTCCTTTTCTATGGTCCACTGCCACTATATCAGTTGTATTTGAAACCAACAAACATGGTGGAGAGCAGAGTGCTACTATCATAATGAAAATAAATATTCCAAGGTTCAGAACTAGAGACAATGCATTGCTTCAAATTAAATCCTAAATTGTGCGTTTTCAACGGTAAAGTTTATTTTTATTGTTCTTTTTATAAAATTAACGTCAGTAATCAAGACAAACCCCTAACCTAGAAGCTTTCTCGTGGGATCCTTAACTAGTTGTGGCTGATAGAATAAACTTAATCGTACAAATCAAACATATTTCAGTGCTACAAAGTAAAACTAAAATTCAAGTGTATGGAACTGACAGGTTATCACAACAGACCTGAGATTGAATAAAACAGACATAAGATTGAACAAACCAGTTTTCTTAACCAACTGAATATGTACATACAACTGAAAAAATGCCAACATTAATTCTAACAATTGAATAAAGGCTGATAATTTCGAAAGAAAGTGTTTGGGGCTGCAACGGTGGGAGTAACAAAATAATTTGGATATATCAACAAAGTTGAAATGGTAAATTGGCCACCGTAATGATTACAAAAGCTGACGTTTCGAGCGTTAGCCCTTCGTCGGAGCGAATAGAGGAATTGTGGGTTGTGTGTGCTTTTAAAGGCAGAAAATGGAGCTACGTTATTGGTGGGAACATGGCAACGAGAAAAATATGAATAAATTAGTGGAATGAATAAATTAGTGGAATGAAAAGCGTTCGTTGATCCCTGTGGGATTTAGACTGCCGGTTTGAAAAATGAGCTTTTGTTTAAGATTTTTACGGCTTTCCGTGCCACCTAAGTGCAAGGAAAGAACGCACATGGCCATATGTTACTTAGAATGATTAGGTGAATTAAAATGTCTAGCGACTGTCCTTTTGTAATCATTGCGGTGGCCAATTTACCATTTCAACTTTGTTGATATATCCAAATTAATTCTAACAATGCCCACCACGTTATCGGTTCGTTTATTATTGACTCGCAAGGAAACATGCCCAGGCGTATTTTCATACTCTGTGCACACAACACAAAGAACAGACCACACCACATAGAAGAACCGACAGGCTGGCGTCTCATTTAAGTTCGCTCTATTAATGATGTAAATACCTCCATCTGACAGTGAACTCCTCATCAAAACCACTAACACGAACTTTATCCACATCAAAACTTTTTTCATCTTCATAAATCGTTCCTGAGTAAATAAAGAGTGAAAAATGATTTAGCACAGCTGTGTATCTGCCGGTTGTGTTCTTGTTTGGTGGGAAGAGCGAGGAGGAGAAAGGATACCCTGATACTTTTTTCCGATGACATCCCTCTTATTGTGCTTTAAAAGGACGGAGGACGAAGTTTCTTAACATAGTAAAAAAGAGGGATCTTAATAAGAAATATTTCTCCTCAGTGGAAATCTAACTATCCTGGCCAGCTTTCGTGTTAAATGCCTGGTCTTTAGATGTAATGGCACTTTCTTGCAAGGTGATTTGAGTCGGTATTTCTTACATTTATTCACCACTTGAAAAAATATTTTTCACATTTTTTGATGCATTTCCCTTTGAAAACTGCGGCAGGAACAAATTGATAGCTGCTGACGTTGTAAACGAAAGGTGCAAACAGGAAAGAAAGACTGCACGAAGGGGAAGTGACTAACAAGTCAAAAACTGCTCAGGGCTGCTCTTAAAGATCAAGCTCTAGATAACTTGGTTGATAAACGGGTCTTGTAAATCACGTCAACATTGAGCTTGGAGGAAATGGACTCTCACTCGACAATTATTCCGATACAACGTCGTTGTGAACTACACCTAACTAATATACTTACAGGTACAGGAAGGGTGAATATTTGACTAACCATTTTCAGTTTGTTTGCAAGGTGTGATAATCAGCTTCCAATAGGGACCAGAAATATTCTCCACCTTATCAAGGTTGGGTTGACAAACATTTCCGGCGAGCAGAGTTCTAAATCCAAACAGACCAATTTGAAAGATGTTTCTCACCCAGAAATAATAGAATCATTGACCTGTGGCAGCCCTGTGGAGAACAAAATAAATTATTATTGGATGACCACTGAATGACTAAGCGATTTGTTTCTGCCAAGATAATTGATAATTTTAAGCTTAGTCGAGAAGCTTCTGGCTCACAAGAAAGACTGTTATAAAGAATTGCTGCCAGAAAGGTAACAAGAGTGATTTCTAGTTGGTAAAACCGACATTTAAGTGGCGTGAAACAGACAGAGTATCATGTTTACAAAAGACTTAAAGATTGACGGTCGAATAGAATTCCAAAGATTTTCGGAGTCCGTATACATGTTTAGCGCGCCTTCTGTTTCAAAATTGCACGACTTCGGAGAATTGTACAAATCATATCGCAAGTTACACGCACCTTCTTAGAGTTACGCCGGTTTATCGTGTTAACAACTGACTTATGAAGCGCCTAGAGATTACGGAAACACAAAGAGTGATGCTAAAACTGTGCCAACGTAAGATGCCAACCAACTATTTTTCATGTTATGCGTATATAATTAACAGAAAGATGTTTCTGAGTATGGTACGTTATCAGGCCGACAACACACCTTATCTGGGTGACGGTTTAAGTTCCTACGAGAATCCAAGTGATGTTTACAACTGACTGAGTAGGTGCGTGTAACTTGCGGAGTGATTCTTCTAACTCTCCGAAGTCGTGTAATTTTGAAACCGAAGGCGCGCTAAACATGTATGCGGACTCGAAAATCTTTAAAATCCTATTTATTGATTTTGAGACTGGTAATAAGGAGCAGTGCCTTGTGGAATCCCATTCGTCCGTCAATCTTTAGTACCATGCAAAACAAACCTAACTGGGATTTTCAACAGGATCTGCTGGAGAACTTTAATTTAAACAAAATCAAGCAAAATATATTAACTGTAATAATGCCCCCACATTGACCTGGATTCAGACGTGCCTTAGGGTATTTTCATAGTTGGTACACACAACACACAGACATAGAAAATTAAAAAAGGTCTCATGGTAGTAAACTCTATTAGTGATGCAAAATCAACTGACTGTTTTTGTCGCAATAATTAAGAGATTTAAGCTGAGTAGTGAAATTTCTGGCGTACTAGAAAGTTTAATAAACGAGAATTGTTGCAAAAAAAAAAATAACCTGAGAAATTTTAGGATAAGGTTGCGAACAAATGCCTTTTGTCTGTTACTACGTAATTAATTTATTAATTCTGTTCGGTGAAGCGTTATGTTTAGTCGTTCTTTCTATCTTGATCTTAACGACGGAAAACCGTATTTGCTGAAAGGATTGAACTGATTTCGAGAGGTAGGACTTAGCAGTATAGTATAGACTAAAATTTTTTTCTAGAGAGCTTCTGAACGTTCGATTGGACCATTGATTAACCTGCACGGCGTAAAAGACGATTGATTTTGATTCAATAATGAAGATACAATATGTATTTAGAATTGGGTTTTGGAGAGATTCTGTTACAAATCAGCTACGATGATAGAAAGTGAATACTTTTTTCAGAAATTGGTATCCAAAGGCCATACATAAATATATTTTGAGTTTATTTGGATCCACCTAAAATGCCTGCTTCCTGTTTAGTATAGGAAAAAGACAAAACGCATGCCTTACTTTGGTGTCTGTAAAAAACAAAAATTATTCCAAAAAGGATCTCTCTGCATAAAAAAGGTAGAGAAAATTCGTAGTAATTCCACCCACCGCGTTAGGAAGGAGAGACAGTGAAAAATATGGCTTTATTTCAACGATCACTTTCGAAACGCATTTAACATTTAACTTTCACTAATATTGCACTGATGTAATTACTATGAAAATTTAGAGGAGTGCACCTACGGTTTAAACCAGGAAAGTTTCATGAAAAACAATTACACTTTGTTTTTATTCATTTTTCATGTTCTGTTTCGGTGCTTTGTCTATTTCAGAATTATCGCGCTCAAAGAATTGATTGAGAGCATGATGTCATTCTATAAATTAAATAACCCCCGAAAAAAAAAATTGATAATTGAAAAGTTGACCGTTCATATTAACATAAATCGAAAGACTCTGTTTAATGCTATCGTGGTTTAAACATTTTAATGGATGTGGTCTAATTTAAGCGTTACAGCATGAGTTCCTTTTGTATGCTTGCTCATTAGCTGCCCTTTTATCTGATGAAGTGTAAATAGGATAGCAGTATTGTACTAAATATTTTAGACGTCTTAATCATGTATTTCTGCTAAAAGAATATTGAGTAATCTTGCATTGATGTAATTGTTCTGCAAACGTAGAGGAGTGCACCTACGGTGTAAACTAGTAAGTGTCACGAAACACACTTTTGTTTTGTTTTAATCTATTTTTTTCTTGTGCTGTTTCGTTTGTTTGTTTTTTCACAAATATCGAGCTTAAAGAATTTTTTAAGAGCATAATATCAATCTATAAATTATATGACCTCCGAAGAAAAATCAGACTATTAATAAGTTTAACGTTCATACTAACAGAAATCGAAAGACATTGTTTAATGCTACTCTGGTTTAAGGATTTCTTGAATGTAACCGAGGAATTGCAATTTATAGACCCATTGTTTCGACACTCCTATCTAGCACCTTCCTCGGGGTGAATTAAGGGTTAAAACATGAGTTCCTTTCATATGCTTACCAATTAGCTGCCCTTTTTTTTTTCTGACGAGGTGCAAATAGGCGTAAGGTAGTTAGTCGCCATCATCACGATTCAAAGGAGTGTAGGACGAGTTGATATGCTAGGATTCCAACTAAAGGCGCTGGTGGTAACTTCGATTAGTAAAGATAATTTTAGAACTCTCCCACCCAATGATCTTGCACCAGGCGGCGAAATTTTATTAAATCAGGGTGAATTCTCCCACAAATATTCATCTCACAGTAATATCAATGAAATCAAAAGCATTTTTCCTTATGCTTTGAGGTTTTTTTGCAAGGAATACCAGAATAAACCGAAATAACTAATAGAAATCCCTCGTGAATTGCAAGAAAAATATGAAAAGGACAAAAACAAAAGCTGAGTGAAGCACGAGAAGACTGCATCCGCAATAGTATTCGACATATTGGAGAAATATTATTTGTGTGTTAACTGGAAGGTAAACTGCTTCTTTAAAAGAGTACAAGAGCGGAGGAATCAATTTTCTTTGAAAACTTTCCAAACATGCAGCTATTCAAACTGTTCACGCTGAATCTAATCATCCCTTTGGTGTCATGGCTGGCTCTTCTTGCGCAATAATTCTATTTTAAAACGTAGAATTAATTTGGCAAAAGTGATATTAATTTCGTTGTTTTAATCTCTAGAGCCTAGAGATGGCGGCTAGAGTTCGTGGCAGCCAAGCAGTTGGGAGGTCACTCCTTGTTCCAACGGGTTATTGATTAGAAAACGCAACTGTGACAATCCATCCCCGGCCCATGGTGGAGCTAATTGCCACGGGAGTTCTACAGATACGAGAGACTGCGACGAGTGTAGCCGTGGATTGGCCGGATGCCAGCATCATTGTCGAAATTACGATCATAAAGTCAGTTCACTCACTTTCGAGTGCTATTGCCGATATGGCTATAGACTCTCGGTGGACTCAAAGAGCTGTGAGAGTAAGTTTATTAATCTTTTTTTTTTCTCTTTTTTCAGTTTGCACGAGTTTTGTAGTTGTAAAATCTTTTATTCATCGGGACCAAGGTATGAAAAGTAAAACCTTTGCACCCAGACTGCCAACTTATCTCTGCCTTACGTACACATTTAATTTCAATTAATTCGTGGATTTAGAAGTTCTGTACTAAAAACAATACTTTTGAAACAAATTCAGCTGCATAATAGAAACGTAAGATAACAGTTTCATAAGTGAGCAACCTACATCTCCTTATATAGCATTAAAACCCTCGATAGCTAAGAACTACTCTCCATAAACGAGTTGATCACTCACAGGATTAACAACTGGAGATAGATAATAAACAGATATCTGAGCAATTTCGTTGCAGTTACACAATACTTAGTCTCAGATATGATCTATGGGTCGATTCATACCCATTTTTTTTAATTCTGAGGGGTTTGTGTTACTGCGCTTTTGACCATCGGTGGTTCAACCTCTCAGCTACGGACACGAATGGGCAGAGCATAAGAGAGTTTCTAAAAATACAAGAAAACACAAATTCTTCGATAACTTTATAGCATCGAGACAATGTCTTACAAAAGAACGGTATAGACTCTCACCTAGCCAGCCCTTTTTCACTCAAAAGCTATTTTAGTTGACTTTTCTTCTAACTGTTTTACTCGAAATCTCTAGAATGCAAACGAAGTGGATAGAGGGGGTGCAAGTGCAAACGAAATATTTAAAGCCACAATAAAATCTTTCCATCTAAAGCGGGCTTTTGAATGGTACATGTGTTATTGAACAAGCGAGAAATAAAGATGGTCAGATATTGGGGAGTTAATTTTTTTTTTTTTTTTAGTTCTCATGGACCGAGACTAAGTCGAAGTTACTGCTTTAGCGTGTTGTCTCAGTGTCCATAATGAGGATGTTAGGTTTTACCTCTCCGAGGCCTAGATATAGTATCCTTAATTCTTAACGGGCATAAGAGATTGTCGGTAAACGAGAGGTGTCCTTAGGGAGAGATTCAATGTCTAGCCGTTGGTCCTTACTAGAGAGAAATAGGAGATATGCGTACCCCGCGTTGTTAAAGGTGTCGGTATTTGTCAGTCAGTTCTACTGTACCATTAATTTTACAGAGAGAAGATGCGAAGCACTGAGTGCACCGGATAATGGTGATATTACTCCTTCTACATGTGAATCCGACCCACGGCATGGTGATACATGCCTTCGAACATGTGACCGAGGGTATCAACCCGTCGGACCTATGGACATACGGCGTGAAAATGGACAATGGAGCGATACTGCCGGATTTCAGTGCAGAGGTAATGTAATCTTACCTGTTTTCGTTAGTGTTGTTGTTGTTTTTTTTCCCTACGGAGGGGTGGAGTAAAATACCTTGCTTCATGCAGAGGTGAATCTTCGAAATTAAGTCAATTTATTGTCTAGCAAAACCAAGACCTTTGAATTCGGTACATGCCCATATAACTAATAACACAGAAGCCACTTCATAATGCCAGATCAATTGGCATGGTAAATCACAGATGTTATGAACCTTAATTAACAGCAATCGAGTCGATGTAGGTCATTTAAGAGAAGTGGTCAGTTGCCTAAGGATTTGATTATAATAAAGTTGTTAGAAGGAAATAGTAGAATACCTGAAGTGTGCTGATTTAAAATGTAACTATTACTCCCACGTGCGCTTAGCACGCGTGTGGCAGAGCCCCATACCCATGGAATATGGTCAACCTCTTTTCGTTTGATTGTCACGTGACTGACCGAGCGTACGTACGTGCCCTCAGATTGCACGGGTAGGGTAGGGGAGACTAACAAAACGTAGGGAGGGGTGTCTCAGGCGAGTCTTGGCAAATGCACATCTTATATGTTATCATTAATATTAGGAACTTGGGAGCTCCGCTTTTAGGCTTGGCTAAATCTATATATTATTTCAGTGCGTGAATGTCAAGCCTTAGGCGAGGTGGACAATGGTCAAATAACTCCGCCAATATGTAGCACAAGACCTCTTCATGGTCAAACGTGTGTCTACGAATGTGCTCCCGGTTATGTAGTTAATGGACCTAACTCAAACAAATGTGACAATGGACAATGGAAATGTCCTTTTTCTACTTGCAAAGGTAAGCTATATTTTATTTTGTGGTCGAGAACAAGTTATCTACTTAAGATTTACCGAATACTTTTCTGTAAGGCCCGGCCGACCAAACTTAGTCAGTGAATAACTTGTCGTAACACCGCCGATCTTTGTCTACATATCAAAGTTTTTGGCTTATGCATCCCGGTGGGTAAGGTGATGGAGGCGGGGGTGGAGTTTGGCTGTTTCTCTTTTTCTTTGCTTTTGTTTGTCTGATTTGTTTTGCTTGCTTGTGGGGCGTCTTTGTTAATTCATTCGTAATTTCTGTTAAAATTGCGCGTTTAGTGTTGGCTAATTGTTCCACCTATGATGAGTTATGACATGATAGACGAGGTTTATTTTTCTTCTTCAAGTCACAATTGGCAAATGTATTTTATTTATATGTAGTTATTTAATCTCAAGCTCTGAACCGTTAAGCGCAGTTTTAGGTCTTGTTTGTTCGTCTTAGACTTTGAAGATCCCTCATTTGGAGAAACATGCCCATCAGAGCCGGTAAATTATATCGCTGAAGAGGGAAGAATTACAGCTACGCTGGACTTAGAGCTAATCAAACCTACGGTGACAGACAACTCGGGTGAAGTTAGATTATCATCTTCCCCTCAAGTGACCTCGCCACACGTATTTCCCGAGGGAATCACCACTGTGATTTACGAAGCAGAGGACCCAACAGGAAACAAAGCACACTGCTATTTTAAAGTCTCTGTCCAAGGTACAAGATGATAATAGTAGTAATAGTAAAAATAATAATAATAATAATAATAATAATAATAATAACAATAATAAACAGCGCGCAACAATGTCTTTGTGAATTAATGCATTAGTTCTAGATTAATTGATTCGAGATGAGACGTTCATGAAAGATTACCAGAAGAGATTGTGTAGTACAGGATGTTGTTCATCGTGGTAACGCATATAAATAAGGTTTTCATCGTGTATAGTTGGATGTAGAGTCAGGCTATCAATACAACTGAAATATCGAACTAATTTACAAGAAAACAAAACATTTGAAGTGATTGCATGTGGCTGAATTATATCTTTAGTTCTTCGGTGTTCCGTTTTGCTTGCACCTGCAAACGGGAAGTTTGAGAATGGTACCTGTGGAAATGTTTATGGTAGTTCCTGTCGCTTTGCCTATAACGAAGGATACAAAATAACTGGATCTGTCGAAAGAAAATGTGTCAAGAAGTCTGACACAGACGAGGCGTACTGGAAGGTAAATGAAACTTCTTGTGCGAGTAAGTTGACTTGTGTTAGTTTGATGTCTCCATGATTTAGTACCATCGCCATCTCGTAATTTGCATTAAAGAAGAAAAAGGTGGTTGCTGGGCAAAAAATGTCTACACATTACTTTTGCAAAGAATAAACTCCGAGATGTGGTAGGGTTACCAAATTATAAAATCATTAGAAGAAGGTCTCACTCTTTTTCTATTTCAAATCTTTAATAGGGGATTCAAAAAAAAAGTTCATCGAAACAGTTATTAAGTGAGCACTAAAACAATGCAGGTTTTAATCTCTCGACATTCCAAACTAGATATTCTAAACTAGATATTCCTAAATAGCAAGCAATAAACATTGAAAAAAAGTCACTTAGCCCTGATATAGCGATAAAATGGATATGGCACGTTACCATCACATCATTTCTTTCAGTTGTTCGCTGTTCTAGCCCCATTACTCCAGCTAACACGACAAACTCTGGTCACGATTGTCATGATTTCAGGCCCAGTTACAACACAAACTGTTTCTTCCGTTGCAATCGTGGATTTGAAGCTGAGAAAGGATCGGAAAGAGTAACTTGCAAGGAGACTGGGCAGTGGGATGGAGATCCTCTTCAGTGCAGAGGTAAGAACTGAAAGGTTTCGGGAAAGCATTCAAAGACACGCAAAGGGATGAGCTAATCGTTTGAATTTTGGCATTATGATTATTTGGCATTATGAATTTTGGCATTATAATATTTGGCATTATGAATTTTGATTATGTTTTGACTTTAAGCTTCATAATGGAATGGCATGTCCATCTTTATTTTCTTTGACATCTCTATAATGATTCGATTGAGAGAGTTTATTTCTATTAATCTATAGCTATCACCTGCGAATCAATGAAAATTGGTTCCGTGGAGGGTTTGGAAGTGACACCTCGTTCTTGTATTAATTCCAACGCCACTATTCCCTACGAAATACAATGCATATTCACCTGCAAAGATGGTTATCAATTAAAGGGACCTGGATTGAAGACATGTACTCGATCCAAAATACTGGAAAATCCCTCCTGCGAAGGTTTTGTTCTCTTTATATTATTGTTGTTTGTGTTGTTGTTGTTATTTTGTTTTGTTCTGTTATGTTTCTTTCTTCTTACCAATTCACTGACGTACACTTTTTTTCATAATGGTTACCTTTTTTTTATGCTTTTTTTCACCTCGACCTTACTTTGAAAAATTGGCACCATTGTCACTTTTTGTTTTGAAAAAAGTTTTGGTCACTTAAACCTCCTTTACATTTATGTGAAAATAAACAGGCAATCGAGCAAAACAAAAGAAATTGATAATGATAGCAATAAAAAACTAAGGCAACGAGGACAGCGAAGATGACAATGGCTACGGTGATCGATGGCAATAGCGATGATAGTATTGCCGCAATAGAGAATGAAAGTATGTAACTTTGTTTAGCAAAGTAGGGAGGGGAGGCGAGTAATGTCAAGTACATGGTTTTAAATAGACAATGTTATAATCGTTAAGCGTATGAGTAAACCTGAAGATGACAGTGCAATTTAGATAGTACTGGTTTTATTTCAACTATATTTTCCTTCTCCGTTAGGAATATGCTTTTTCTTTCCTCTTCCCTCCCCCTCCCACACAAAGGGCTGGCAAATATTCGCGCAGCTTGGGAATGGACTTTTGTAGTTCTGTGAACTAAAATAGATGAAGTTTTTTTTTTCTTTTGATTGTCTGCTTACTTTCTGATTATTGTTTTTATTTCATTTTGTTTTGTTCTTTATATTTATTTATTGTTCATCTGTACTTTCCAGTTTTCTTTCATTCCCTGACGTTTCAGCGCCAGTGTTCATAAACTGTCCAAATAACAATGAGGTATTTGCTGACAGAGGGAAAATATCGACAATAGTCCACTGGCCTCACCCAACTGCAAAAGACAACTCAGGCTTCGAACCAAATGTAATTCTTCCCAACAAACAACCGGGTGTAGAATTTTCGTCTGGGGTGCACGTGATCATCTACAAAGCGGAAGACAGAAAAGGAAATACTGCCGAATGCAAGTTCAAAGTGATTGTTTCAGGTAATACCTATTTTAACAGATGCAAATATAACTGGGCGTTGTAATAATGAACAAAAGCTGCTTTAGACGCATCCTCGGAGACCCAGGGGCTGTGGGTCGATTTCAAGTTAGGGCATGAAAAGCCCCTGGGGACATTGTCTTACAAAACTAGTTCCAAACGGTCGCAGTCGTTCTGCCATCTGATTGGTGCCAGAAAATCTTTGTGTTTTTCTGCCCAATCAGAGTGAAGTGTACTTTAGAGTCCTTTCGTGTGTTTTAACACGGACATACACTAATAGCTCAGTTGCTCGCTATGTTTGTTTAAGCCGTGCAACGGAGATTTGCTTGAGGTGAAAAGTTTCAGTCTCAGCTCACAATGTAAGAGAAACCGATCAGATTGTCCGCGAAAATCTTACCGGAAATTATACTGAATACTTTCGCAG